CACACACACACACACACACACACACACACACGAGTGACTAGAGAGGCCAGGAAGAAAAGGAAACCACAGGCATATGTGTTACAGTAGCCAAGAGATTGTCAAATGCTGAGAACTGTCAAGCGCAGGTCAGATCAAATACTCAACAGGTGTGGCAAGGTGGCTGGAGCACTTCCAGTGGAGAGGTGGGAGTGGAAGGCGTTCCCAGGAAGGTGATGAGCGCACCATGTGAGAAGGTGAAGAGAAAGCAGACAGAGCCAAGGAGCCTGGCTATGAAGACAAGGGGGCAGATGTTCTAGGGGGTATGAAGGGACGCTGTTTTAAAGACAGGTAAACATAAATGTGTTTAAGTGCCATGGAAGGAACAAGTACAGAGGAAGACAGTAAAAGAAACTACTGAGAACAGGGACAATAAACAGAAAGATCTCCAAGAGGACAGAAGAAAATGCAGGACCAAAGTATACAATGGTAGATGGATTAGGTTCAGATAGTGTTATTCTTTGTGTCTAGATGTTGCATCTCACATGGTCATAGGTGGGGCTTTTCAGAGGTGGCTGGATCTACAGTGTGTGATGCTGGGATCAAGGGTATGTGATTACTAAATCAATGACTAGTTTGGGGATAGTTCTGTGTATGAATAATGGGAAGGTCCACCCTAGGTGTGAGTGCTACCACCTTAAGGGAATGTAGTCTGGATAGAATATAAGGCACAGAAAGAGCTGCTATGTTCTTCTAGCTTGTTCACTACTTCATTGCTTTGCTGCCTTCTACCCACCATGAACTGTTTCTCCTCTGTGATACCACCCTGCCTTGGAGCCAGCTGATTATAGACTGAAACTTCTATAAACTGTGAGCCAAAATAAATCTTCCCTCCTTTCACCTTGGGTGTTGGGTACTTTGTCTTAGCAATGACAAGGGTCACTAAGACAATATATGAGCAAATCTAATCCAGCACTGGATTTGTCCAATATTAGGATTTTTTTATAGGTATGCAAGTCTAGTTCAACATTAGAAACCAATTTATGTAACCATCTGGGCATGGTGGCACATGCCTATAGTGTAATTCCAGCACTGGAGAGGCTGAGGTAGGAGGATCACTGTGAGTTTGACACCAGCTGGGGCTACAAAGTGAGCTCAAGGCCAGCCTGAACTGCAAAGCAAGACCCTGTCTTAAAAAAAAAAAAAAAAAAAAAAAAAAAAAAATTACGTAACCAGAAACAGGGAGAGCCCTTTCATTCTAACAAGAGGGAACAAAGACAATGAGGTCAAACTATAGGTAAGTTAGTGCCTGTGAAATCAGGAGGTTCCAGGTGCAATTTTCTCTGTAAAGTAGGAGGAACCTTTAACTACTTAAAGAGGTAAATGAAATTCACAAGATAGCAAGAGGAGGCTGGGTGTGGAAGAGTGTGACCACAGACCACACTCTCAAGGAGGCAAGAAAATCACTTGAGTTTAGGAGTTTGAGGACACTCTGAGCCATGCAGGAAGAACTTATCTTAAAAACAAAACCAAAAAATACCACTCTCCTACCAAAACAAAACAAAACTAAAAAAGGTGATCCCAAGAGAGATGAGGCAACTTTTTATTGCTGTTTTGTTTTGTGATATGAGGAGTGAACCCAGAGCCTTGACAAGTGCTCTACCCCTTAGTGCTCTTACTACTAGATCTTTTTTATTTTTGAGACTGAGACTTGTTTAGTTGCCCAGGCTAGCCTTAATATGTGATCATACCTCACAGACATTCAAAAAATGGCCTACCTGCCCTAGTCCTCCTTTAACTCACCTCGCACACCCATTTAGTTAGTAATTTTTCATCCATTCAACAAGTTATTGACTGAAGGCCCTGCTATGTGCCACTTTCAGATAGTAAACAAGACTAATTCTTTGGTGGCTTGGAGCTTAGCCGAAAGAGTACAGTAGTAGGCAGTTAATAAGTAATTAAGGCAATGGCTACCTGAGCATTTTCTTCTTTTTAATGACCATGGACTATGTTCATGGTTATGAGGGAAAAAATAAAGGATGTAATACTATAATATAGGCTAAAGGATAAGGGAAGGCTTTTCTGAGGAACTGACATTTAAGATAAGACCTGAAAAATGAAGAGTCCAGCATGGTGCTGGAGGCCCATAATCCCAGCACTCTACAGAGGAGGTTTAGGCCAGAGGACTGCAAGTTTGAGCCCAGCCCAGGCAAGTTGGCAACTCTGTGAGATCCTGTCTCAAAATAAAAAATACTAAAGGGTTGAGGATGCAGCTCAGTGTAAAGGCTCTAAATTCAATGCCCAGGCACTAGAAAAGAGAGAGAGGTTAGCCAGGTAAAGGGAGAGGGGCATTCCAGACAGATGGAGTAAAGATTAAGGGCTATTTGAGGACCTGAAAAGGCTAGTGTGGTTGAAAGTGGAAACAGGCAGTTGTTAAGGATAACTTAAAGGTTTATGGCGTTTGTAACTGGGAAGATGTAAGTATTACTTATAGAGTTCTGGCAGATGGGAGAAGAATCAGATTTTGGAAGGACTGGGGTATTAGTATCAAGACAGTTCTTGGATAAGGAGCTACAGATATCTGTAAGATATCCAGAGGTGTTAGGCTGGCAGGTAGGTCTGTAGATCTGGGTTCAGAGAAGTGAATCAAGGGAATCAAGATCTCAGTCAATTCTTGTTGAATGAATAAAAAAATTACGACTAAATGGCTGTGGAAGGAGAGTTAAAACAGGACCAGGGAAATATGCCACTTCTGAATTCCTCTACAGTATGAGCCGTGTTTCCTGATAAAAGAGGCAAGCACAGAGCAGACATTTAAAGCTCTGAGAATAGAATACTACCTATTATTGTGTATACCTAGTTAAAAAAATACAGGGCAGAAAGAGATGCTAGACCAGGCCCTGGCCCGGATGAACTATAAGAGACAGGAATCAGAGAAAGAAGACATAGCCAGCAGAGGAGTCTGACACGATAAGCACATAACTGTGAGCTTGAAGTATTAAAAAAGCCAGAGACCATTTCAAACATAGGTGGTACCATCCATGTCAAATGCTGCTAAAAAGCTCAAGATGTGTGTCCCCTGGATTTAGACACAAAGAGGTTACTGATGAACTCAGCCAAAAGCAGTTTTTACAAAATAGTAGGGACAGAAATGAGGTTGGAGAGTACCTAAGAGCGGATGAGACGTGACATGTAGACAGGGTCTCACTATATAGTTCAGGCTTGATTTGAATGCAGTATGTAGCCCAGGCTGGGCTCGAACTTGTGGTGATCCTCCTGCCTCAGCCTCCTGAGTGCTGGGATTATAGGCATGCACTACTAACCCAGCTAGACAACTCTTGAGGAGCTTGCCTCTGAAATGGGTTAAGAGAGTAGTAGCTGGAAGAACATGCAGGGATGAAACAGAATCTGAATTTTCCAGTTCTCTTGCAAATTGAAGAATCTGACAGCACCAAGTCTGCATTTCTCCAAGGCTGCGGTAGACTGAAAGTGCTTGACTATTTCCTTTAAATGAGGCCTGAGCTTTCCAGATTGACATTTTCTTATCAGTCCACTTTCCTTACTTCATTTGTCTGCCTACCCCCTGTAAGCATCTGCAATTCTGTCATCCCAGAACATGTGCAATGGGAAGGACCCAGGAGAGAAGAGACTGCAACACTGATCACACATCTGAACTACACTTTCCACTCCTTACTTTTCCTCACTGTAACCCTCAACCTGCAAAGAACCCAATGTCTCAGATGACACAGTGAACCCCTACAGGGTATCTGCTTTCCTTCCCTAAAACAGTGCTTCTCAACTGGGGAGGAGAGAGTCAATTTTGTGGTATCCCCCACTCCACGCCGCCCGGAAGTGTCTGGCAGTATCTGGAAATATTTTTGTTTGTCAAAGCGGCAAAAGTGGGAGAAGTACTACTGGCATCTTGTGGGGAGACGCCAGGGATGCTGCTAAACAGTCTACAATGCACAGGGTAGTTTCCCAGGGTCAAAATGTGGATAGTACTGAGGTTGAGAAGCCCTGCTTTAAACACTGTGAGCTCCACATGAACAGGGGCTTTGTCAAACTTGCTCTCTGCTAGTATCTAGACCAATGTCTGTTAAGTGCTCAATAAATACTCCTTCCACGAGTGAATCTAGCCCGTTATTTCTTTCGCCCCCAACGTTATTTCCCCTCCCATAAACCCCAAGCTCCAGTCACAGAGAACAAAAGGCTTTTACTTTCCACACGTGGGCTACAGTGGTTCGTTCACACAGGGGTTCTGACTTGCGGCTGCTTCTCCATTTTTCCCGCCAAAGGTAGCACCTTACACGACCACTCCCACAAGGCCCTGTCCATCAAACACACTAAACTCAACACTACTCTCACAGTGGCCTTTACGCCTGCTTAGATGGGTCCCAAGAGCCCTGGCTTATTTTATTTACTATTACTGAAGCCCTGTAGGCACTTTCTAGTGGCTCTGGGCCCCATTTCTGGTCTAGCACATCACAGAGTTGAACGACTTGCTCGTCATCAGGGCCTGAGGGTCGCTGACTCCTCCAGGGCCAAGCACACAGGATGTTCTCATGCAAACGCAGTGGCCTCACGCCACACAACTGTCGTCGGGGATACACACGCCACACACGCCACACCAAAGACGTCGGGGATATACCTGGACCTCATCGTCCTTGCGGATGGGCATGGAGCGGACGTTGTATTTCTGCCGCAGCTCCTTGGAAAGAGGGGAAGACATGATCTTCCGGCGCACGTGCGAGGGGGCATTGAAGTGGCGTTTGCGGTTTTTGCTGCGGTCCGAGGTCACGAACGGGTTGAACTTCATGGTGACAGTCTGCAAAGAGCGGCGAGGGAAGGAGGCGCTCAGTGGGGTGGAGAGGGCCCTTCTTCATCCCGGGCACTTCTCCCCATCCCCGCTCAAGTGCTCTAAGCGGAGATCAGACCTCCGAGGACTTAGAGAGGCAGGCGGGCAGGAGTACGGTGCTACACAGTCAGACTGGCGGGGGTGGTGGCGCGCCCGTCCTACGGGGTCGGGGAGGCGGGGAGTGGTGCGAAGAGAACAGCGCTGGGCCTTGACGCTGGACACGCGAGTGCCTGGGCATTACTGGGGATCGCGCTGAGAAACCTGGGGTGGCGCGTGTCCCCAAGACCCAAAGAGGGGAGGGTCCCACGGGGCGGTGAGCTTCAGACTCCAAACAAAACCCGAGTTTCACTCACCCAGCAGGGACCCGCAGGTTCAGGCTGGGTGCGCGCAGAGGCGGAAGTGACGTTTCCTTGCGGCGCAAGCGCAGAAAGATACTAGTCGCCTTCCTGCTGGAGAAAAGCGGAAGGGTGCCCTCTGCGGCTTGGGGTGGGATCGCAGTGCCTCATTCCACCCTTGTAGGGAGCCTAGCAGGTGTTGGCCTCCAAATCGCCATCATCCTTCCTTAGCCTTCTAGTGTTGGGGTTACAGGCGTGTGTCACATGCTCGGCTTGATGCTCATTTAATAGGCGCCTTGTCAGTAGTCTCTTACCTATCCAAAATTCTTTCTTTGCCCCTTTTACCTTTCACAAAGGAGACTGCAGAAGTCATCTGGATATTTACTGTACAGTTGTACTCAATATCGGTTCCAGAACTGCCCTGCTGATACCAAAATTCACAGATGTTCAAGTCCCTTACATAAAACGGCATAGTGTTTGCATTGACCTACCAACATCTTCCCATATACTTTGTTGTCTCTAGGTGACATATAGATAACACTCAACACAATGTAAATGCTATGTAAATAGTTATACTGTATTGTTTAGGGAATAAAGACAAGAAAAATAAGTCAGTACAGACACATTTTTTTTTCCCTGAACATTTTTCATTTCTGTCTGAATCTGGATGTAGAACCTGGCCATACCGAGGGCTGACCAGTGCTACTTCTGAACTCCACCTGTAGACTTGTTCCTTCAAAATCACCAAGAAGCCTGTTCAAAATGCAAATTTTTGGAAACTACTACAATCCTACAAACCAGACAGTGGTAGGTAGGGATCAAATTTGAGTTTTATTTATTCATTCATTTAATTTTTTGATGCTGGAGATTGAACCTGTGGACTCATACATATTAAGTAAATGCTACACCACTGGTATACACCCAGGTAAACTGAGTTTACATTTAGCCAGGTGTGGTGGTGCGTGCCTATAATCCCAGCACTCAAAAGGTTGAGGCAGGAGGATCACTGCGAGTTTGAGGTTGCCCTGGGCTACAAAGTGAGTTTATGGCCAGCCTGAACTGTATAAGGAAACCCTGTCTCAAAAAAGACAAAAAAAAAGCAAGAACCTTCTCACCTCCCAAAGATTGTGAGGTGCACCAATGTGTAAGGATCACTGTGAACCAAACACCTGGCTTTGCAAAACTCTCCCTTTGCCAAGTTGTTTAGCCTATTCAAAAGAGTTGGGGTTGCAGAGTTGGACCTCCAAGTGTCTTTTCTAATCATGACTAGATCTTGAGAGATGACCTTCACATTTCAGTCTCAGTTTTCTCATCTGTAAAATGGGGATGCTTTTAGTAGGTATCTCATAGGGTGGTTATGGGAATTAAATGAGTTAAACCATTTAGAATGTCTAAGATCCTAAGGCCAGGCCTCATGTTTATCAGAGGCTTCATATTCAGACTTTTATCATTAATCCTGACAGTGCAAGTGTTAGCTTTCTGTATTTAATATAAACAGGGGCAATGTGCCACTCTGGCTGGACTGCAAGGTGTGCTACCTCTACCTTTTTTTGTGTTCTTTTTGAGACAGGGTCTCACTATGCAGTTCAGGCTGGCCTTGAACTTACTATATGGCCCAGGTTGGCCTCTAACCCTCAGTGATCCTCCTGCCTCAGCCTCCCAAGTGCTGGGTTTACAGGCATGTACTCCTAGGCATGACCTTTTTTTTCTTTTTCCTGATTTAAGTATTTCTTAGGAGGCACCGGGAAGGAGGGCCCCCATGCACAGGGAGCCATGGGCGGGGAGCGCCGGTCTTCCGGCCGGCTCACTCCCTGCCTCATAGGCGCCTGGAAGGAGGGCCCCCGGCGCAGGGGGAGCCACATGGTGGCAAGCGCTATTGGCGCTGGCCCTCAGGCTGGCTGCCCCCGCTCAAGTGAGAACTACCATGACACAGAGAAACAATGACACAATTGGCCCACCATGCACC